ACAGGCTTTTTTAAACTAGACTATCAAAAACCCCACATAATGAGGTAGCCTGTTATTGCAGAAAATATTTATGCTCAAACATTAAACTACCTGGAAGACATGAACAATATTTTCCCGGTGACAAAAGGAGGAGTATGGACCAGAAAGAACACTCCTCCATTCCAAGCAAAATAAGAAAAAGACTGAAATATGCATGAATTATTATTTTCTACACTTTAAGGAATTATAAAACAAGGGTTAAATTAGCGTTTGCAGGGTTGTTTAAATTTTACTGTGTCCATGAGAAATGAAGTATTGCCAAGTCCTCACAAGGGCTGACGTTTTCCAGAAGAATTATTACAAGACTGCTCCAAATTCCATATAAGACACATAATCAAATGTTCTGCTTAACATCATAATTGCAGTGAGCGCTGCGGTGTGATGTTATAGTGGTGCACCGTGCTGCGATGTTACAGAAAGTGTGACTTCCCCTGGGCACCTTCTGACTGAGCTAACAAAGATCCTGAGGTGCAGAGAGTTAAAATGAAAGCGGGTTATTTATTATGACGGCAGGCGTACTTCTGATTCAGAGACTGAAATGAGAAAAGGGCAGAAACAAGGAGAGAAGAAACCCTTGAGGGGATTTGGAAAAGATGGCATCACTGATCTTGCAGCACTTGAGGTCCTAGGTTTATCGGTGCTGTTTGTAATGGTTGAACATTCAGTATTGTTTGGGATTGAGTCCAAATTAAAGGGGGGTTGCCTCTTGGTAAAAGCAGCATTTTTATCATCCCTCAAACAAGGTTTGCAGTGAAGGATTTGCCCTTTGCCCCTCATTTTCTTCTGCAAGGAGAAGGAATCTCATGCAGGACTGTGGTAAGCAATGTAGAGCTGTGTGTAAGGTGCAGCTTTGCTAGACTGCCTAAGATAAGACTGTGTAAGCCTAGACCTGGCAGCTTCCAGGGGTCTGAACCTCTCTGTTCCACTGGTGAGTGCCATGTCAGCCATGGGAAGGGGCTGCCTTCTCCTTAGGTAACACAATTCTCGTTGAAGGCTTGTACCACCACTGATGGTTCTTTTTCAAATTATCTTGGCATTCAGTGAAATATCGTTCTTCTGCTGATCTTATCTACCTAATTGCATTTTTGAAAAATGCTTTCTGGTTGAGCATTTGGATGACCCAATTTTTTTTTCTTTATTGGTACTCTTAAGAAGACCACCAGGTGGGCTGATGTAGCTTTGCTCTTTGAGCCATCCGTGAATATTTTAGAAGAGCACTAAAACTTGCTCAGAGCACATTGCTTTTGCAATAAAATGGTTATTAAAATTGTTAAAATTCTTAAGAATTTATTTTAACTACTTATTTTTTCTGGCAGGTCCTTAAGAGGAAGGGAAAGGGGGAAGATGTGAAACAGAAAATAGCAAGTTAAAATTAATCAAATAATTTTCCTGACAAGTTTACAGTTACAAAGTGTTACTATATGATGCTTTTTCTTAGCAGTCATGCTGAAGAATTCCTCTGCACACAGAGCGCACACAGTTCAGCTTCTTATTAGATCATCTTTATGAGACGTCCACATTATTTGGTCTCTGGAGAGCTCTTGGTATTTGCAAAATTACTTTAAATACGTTAAATATGAATACTTTGAATTAAGCTTTTTTAAAATAGTCCTTTGAGGAACTGCTGCAAGATCAATGATTAAAGAGAATATAAGGGTTAAAATACCTGTTCCACCTCCTCTTTGGCTGCTACCTGTGTTAGCTCCCAGGGTGGCTCTTGGCCTCAGATTTCCATTCAGCCTCAAGTGCAGCCGAAAAGTGCCTGCGCCGTGGATGGGGTGAGGTGTGGGTGGCGTGTTCTTCTGTCTGGCATAGCTGGGCTTTAACTTCCAGCAGAGTTGGAGTCTTGCTAAGGAAAAAAAGTTTCTGGGGAAAACGGAACCGATACTTGTTCCACTTCCCCCTTGCGGCTGTGTTATTCAGAGGTAACTTTGCTGTTTGGTTACCTATACATCCCTATTCGTAGGGAGGCAAACGTAGGCCACCACTGAAAGGTCCCCCACAGAAAATGGTGCTGGATGGTTCTGCTTCAAGTTCATGACTCATTCGATGTCTACTGGTTGTTAGCAACAGAGCCAGCTGACGCCCTGCCAAAGTTACCCATCAGATAACCCAGAAGAGCTTTAACAGGGCAATTATTTCACATTTTTGCAGGAAAAAAGGAATACTGCTGTCTAGCAGTTGTTCTCAGCAAGCTTCCTTTCATTTTTTTATGCTGAGGTTACAGAGAACAGTGGTATGTGATGCTTCAGAAACCTTTTCTTCTTCCTTTCTTTCCTAAGTCTCTGCTTAAAGGCTTGGCTTTAAGTGGTTTCTTGTTCTTTTCCTTCCTAAGGCTGTCCTAAGTGGCTAGGCTTTCAGTAGAGGTAGTATTTAGGGAAAAGGCTATGAGTTTTAAATAGGTTTTCTGAGGTTCAGGGATAACTAATTTGTCTATACTGATTCCTTAGTGGTTCTTGGGGGATACTTTCATCTGAAAGCTATCCCAGGCATGTTATGCAGCTAATCATTGCTGTGGATTTTTACTGCAGATGATACAGAGGTCCAAAATGCTTAACGATTTATAGCAATTAAGATTTAATTTGAAGTTAATAAAAGGTATGGTTTTCTGTCCATGTCGTAAGGTTACACTTAAAAGTATTTGATATGTTTTTATAAACTATTTATTGACTGTGTATTTTATATACAATTTTGATTGTAATTTTTTAGCAACAAAATTGTGTTACAAAAAAGCACAAATGAGTTTTTCTGTGAAGTGCATGTCTAGACTTGTGTTAATTTAAACTTCAAGTGTGATTTTTAAAACTGGCCCCCTCAAACTTTGTATTTACCGTAGCATGACTTATTTCAATTCAGCTTAAATCAGCAAGCAATTAAATCCAAAGAGTATGCATAGAGAGGGTTGCATAGACCTAAGTGAGCAAGTTTTAGTCAACTCTGTTATATTGAATCAAGGCTTCTTTTTGCTTAGAAAATGATTTAAAATGACTTTGAATCACTTCCCTACATAAAATCTTGAAACCCAAGTGATGTATTAAATTAAAACGAAATCAAAGGTTAACACATGAGAGCAGTCATATGCTGCAGTGACGTGCATCTTGAGGAGTGAAGGGTTTACAAACAGATTTCTCTCAGGAAAGAAAAGCAATTGACACCCAATTAGTGTTAAAGCAGATTCCTAAAGCTCAATGACTTGAGAGCAAATTACAGTTGTCATCGTGGATTTGTGAAGTGTGCTGAACAATGATGCATTCCTTCGGAGGGAAGTTGCTCAGACATGAAAGTATAAAACAAGCACAGCAAGTACGGAGTTCTCTGCATTTCTATAATATCTGTGCTTCAATAAAACAAGTTTGTAAAGTAACCATGGGGTCAATTGGATGCATTTTTATGGATTCTG